AAAAAAAATTTATTTAAACAAATAATTTAAATAACTTAAACTGCTATTACTGGGGTCCAAGTAGTTTGAAACTTCCCAAGAAAGTCAATTTTAATTTATATTTACCTGTGTAAGTGTAGTCTGTTATATAAAAATAAAAAAGATGTATATCGTTTAGTTAAGTCTCCTCTGTATTCTCCTCGTTCCAAGAGAAGATACGCATAAGTTGGTCCCACACTTGAAATGAAATCATCATTAAAAATCGTTGAACTTTTTTATACTTAAAGCGTTATATATATATAACTATAAGTATAGTAAGTTATACTTACTGGCGCCTAACCATGTGGTTGAGCGTTTGCTGGAGTGTTTCAGGTGCAACGGATGTATCTTTACTTTTGACTGAACACGCCGTTGTTTTCTTGGTTTCTTTTTGGCAGATATGCGACTGGTAAGGTGTTTCTTAATTCGAAGTGTATTACTACGATTAACACGGGATTGACGTGCGATGCGTGACAAACGTCCTGAACCAGACGGTGCATATTTGAGTTTTTCCTTAGCACTCATCTTACGCCACTTAGCTCCACCACGCTTGGCTATTTCTACACTGCTGAGATGACGATTTTCAGCTCTAAACTTCTGTAGAAATTTTAAAAATGGGTTGGTGGTTGGCATGACTTTAAAACTAAAAAAAAAAGGATATGAATGTTAATATAATATATATTAAGTGAAATCAAAATAATTTGACATATGTTGATTTCTTTACTAAATATTCAATTAATCTTATTTTACTGTCCAAACCTCTATATGCAAGACTAGACTTGCAAGATTGAAGTAGAATGTAAAATTTTTAGTTCCGTGAATGCCATTATTATAATATCATTAATGAATAATTTTCTTAGTGATGATTATTATTATAACTGATTTAAGTTTAGCGCAGTAATGCGTTTATCACAAACGCACTAGGACTCAACAATTTATTGTCTTTATATAGGATGCTAAGGATGCATTATGTATTGGTTTCTGGCAAATGTGTAATAAATAAATATAGCACATGCAATAAAATTGATAACTTCATCTGCTACTTAAGTTCCAATTATTCACTATAAATTAAAAATACAAAAATTACTTTTCGTATTTGAAGAACAACTGAAACTGCCAAATGCATCCGCAATATAAATCAAAATATCCACAAAAAAGATCCTTGATGAAATGTTTCAAAATGCAGTTCCTGGCCATATGTGCATAAAATTTTTGTCCATCTCGATACAGTAGCGTACAGTATGCAATTCGTAAATTTTTTATTTATTTTTATTGTCAGCAGAAACGATAACATTCCTTTTGTAATTCGTTGTCATTTGGCTGTAATGAATGTCTTCCATAACTCATTGAAATCTCAAGAAACATCCTTCCAAATGAGTACTGAAGCGACCGTTGATGCTCTGAAGCAAACAATATTTTTATTATTAAATGGGCGATGGCTTCATTGTTGTCGGCATAATATCAGGCAATTGTGTGTATTTGGCCAAGAAAATTGCCACTTCGTTTGTAATTGTTCCAATAGAGCATGGACACCAGCAGCGTGTGTGTGGTTCCAGTAAATTTCGGCTAACGCTGGCAATAATGCTGCAGTAACCCCAAGATATAATAATGGGCAATGATGTCATTGTAGTGTCTTTATATGTTTGCAGAGACAATTAAATGTGTGCTTATTGTCATTTCCTGTTCCTGCTTTGTTTAGATAGAGCCATAGTTTTCAGTTAGACATTCTATGTGCTATGAAATATTTTAGGGCACTATGTCCAATACAAAAAATATTTATAAACAATAATAAAATACACATACGATTATTCTGGTTGGCCACTTAAACCAAGTATTTGGAAAAAAATTCAATTGATTTCAGCTATTCTTTTTTTAAGACAAACATAAAAACTTTTAACAACGTTTCAAAGGAGAGAATACCCAGGAAAATCATTTCAGTATTGTTTGTTCTTATGGGAGGTCCTTTTTTATGTTGCACATAAAAAGTCCAGCTTTTACAATATCCATTAAATTGGTCAATAAGGCAAAAACAGTAACGTTTACTTATTTTCCAAATCACATTTTCTGTTTAAGATTCTGGCAGTGGTCAGAAGTGTTCCTGGTTGGTTCCATTAAGTTTTACGGCTTTGGAAACGTTTATTTAGCTTCTCTTGACTAAACGTTTGCTTTAACGATCATGGTTATGGGTTTCTCAAATTTTATTACCTTAAGGAAACATTTTTGCAAATGATTTGCTCTAGAGAAATTTTCACAATCATTAGAATTTACCGATTAGAATTTATTGAACGTTTTCGGATTGATTGGGGAAGAGAAGAGTTTTTAAGATTCTGGAGTACATAAATGTTAAAATTGAATTGATAATGTGATTTATTTATACATAAAAAAAAATTTAGTAAAGCAAAAATTATATTTGCAATATATTAAATATAGCTATGCACTTTTATTAGTACGTAAAACATTAGAAAAATGAACTTATAAGCTTGAAAAAAAAAAGTTGAACTAAGTAGTGGTGTTTAAAACCAAACAATATTGATCTCTATATGTGGACTTCACAAGAACAAAAAAAATAACATTACTTATTAATTGTAAACTGCTTGGATATTTGGATATGAGTTGGATGACGCTAGATATAAAATTAAGTTGGAAGGGACATATGAGCAGCTGGTGACTAAGCGATGAAATCATTTCGCCATTGCACCTATTTTTTAACTTTTGACAGTCGTAAGTTTCGTGATACAATAAAAATTTACATCAACTTGTAGTGATAACACTAAGCGACCTTCCAATGTCATTATCGTTCATTTGTTCCAAATTGCAATATAACTCATTTTCACGGGTCAAATTCACGTAAGCATACTAAGGCTTACTAATGAATAAGAATTGGGTATACCTTTGTGTTCCCAAAAACAGCCACTCACAGGCAGCCCTCAAGAGCCCTGCTGTTACTGTGGTGATCCACATTTTCACTTTACACCTTTGATATTGCTTTGACTATACTTTAGTTAAAAGAAAAATAGTTTTGAGGTTATGTGGTATTGTGGCGTTGGTGTAGTGAGTACATATTTGCATTTCAGCTCATAGGGTTGGATTCTTGTAACCTAATCGTAATCTTCTTTGTAAATGAATGTAGTCAGTAGGCTCAGAAATCTTTCAATGTACCTAAATTTTTGTTATTAAATTTCCATGAGAAAACGACTGTTAATATCAAATCCATAAAAATTTTTTATCCGAAATTTCACGTATTGCATAAGTTTTGTGAATTTTTTTCCAAACCACCTTTATCGTAACTCCTATAAATTATACCGATATTAGTTTTAAAAATCTATATTAATTTGTTGATAAATATATTTGATTGATTTCTCGTCTGACCATAGACATTGTTTTATTATTAATGCACATCAAAATACTGAACTCTCTGCAGAAATTTACATTTCTACCACGAACCCAATGGGTTCCACAACAATGAAATCTACATTTCCTCCGTCTGCGTTGTACGTTACGTCTTCCAAATACCATCGCAAACTTTCCACCGTTCCTATCAAATAAATTTATTAAAGGACTGAACCTGGAATCCGACGACCGAAACCTCGACGAAAAAGGTTCGTTACAGATTTTAGCTCTGTCAATAAGGAACTTCGTTCCTTATAAATTGCAACTGGGTGATATTACCATGTCTGTTAGTCTAAGAAAATGATTTCGGATATGTAAGATATTTGGACTTTACTTTGTTGTTGCAAAAACTTCCTCTCCATAACAAATCTATTGTTTTAATGTGAAGGAATAATTTCTAAGAATTTTTATTAAAACCCTAAAAAGACATTAGAGAAAAATTAACTTTTAGCCAAAACTCAATAAAAAATCGACGAAAAAAGACACCACATGCCGCAACTATAATGAAACTGTTGACTCCTGCAATCTGTCATCACGAAATTGCAAATTATCCTTTTCCTGCCAATTGCCAGTAATAACAACGGGGTGAAGGCCAATTATAATATATTTTTGCAATTTAGAAGTCAACTAAGTAATGAAAGGATAATATTAATAAATATCTGCAATATTAACTGGAAAACGCACAGAGTGTGATGGCTAAAAAATGCGTTTTCTATAGAAAAATTGCTCATAAAAAATAAAAGGATTCGCTAGGGTTAGTTTAGGGTTATTTCGCAAGGGTTTTTGTGTCGCAAAAAGTATTATAAAAATAGTAATTGAATGCAATATTGCAATATTGTGCATTGAATGCAGTAAAAAAAAATAGGTTGCTACCTGTCAAAAAAATGTTTATTTTTTCTAAAATGAATTGAACATATTATCAGCATTTACAATAAATGAAGCTGTATCCTTTAGCTAAAGTCAAGGCTTTTGTGGTGTAAAAGTCAATTTTTATTATAATCAACCATTTTTTTGGTATATTTTCTAGTAAAAAAGTATATCCTTTATGACTTTCTGGTTTGCATTTTAATTTTTTCAGATTCCTACATTAAAGTTTTATGGGTGAATATTGTTTATAACCTGCAAATTTAGTTATATAAAGTACTGTGCTCTTTTTTATTAAATTTCATTTAACAGTGAGTTTTAAGTTTCCTCATAGTACGCCCCTCTAGCACATTGTACTCCTTTATGTTCCGTTATAAAATCACGAGCACATATTCGTATATATGTGTTATCCTTTCGTACCCTTTGATACACATGTGCATTCCATTGACACAATGTTGCAGTGACAGCTTGAAAAATAATAACCCAACAATTTATAGAATTTATACACCCAACGTTAAAATATAAAAAGTAAATTTGTATAAATATATTGTATATATAGATATGAGAGGCAGCACAATAAAAAAAAATCACAACAATCATAAATTTGGCATGTCTAATGATACCATATCACATGTTGGTCCTGCAGAGACATGCGTATGCCTCGGTCATATACAATATATTCACATCCCGTCCATACGAATAAATCGGTTACATATTCGGTGATTTTTTTAACTTTATGGTTGATTTCAATTTCTTTTACTTTGTCTTGTTTTTACATTCCAGTTTTATGTGGTCATAAAAATCCTTTCTAATTTTTTTATATAAAGGATTTAATATCCTTTTTTGTGACTGTTGACGCGTCATTTTTGGCCGCAGACCAATTTAAAAATTTTGATTTATAATTTTATTTTTGCTCGCTGCTCTATTTTGGCCATTTTCATGGTTGTTTATTGTGACAAGTGCGTTTATTGACTCATGGGAATCATTCAAAAATTTTAAAGGTTCGCAAAATTTTCAACGGTTCGAAAAATTGGAAGGGTGGCGAACATTTCCACTGACGCCCCCTGTGCAAAATTTTAAACTTCGTCAATTTATAGTGGAAATGTGTTATTAAACTTCTATGCTAGACTAATCAGGAAGCTAAAATAGATGGGCATGTGAAAGGTCTGTATTATTTAGAGAAAGCAGCAGTCCCATTTGCAAAAAAATTTATGAATCTTTCAGAAATTGACAAGGCGTCAAGAGGATGTTACTTATACAGCATAAGTTATGACGAGTTGTTAAGAGACTTTTAAATATATTGGGTATGGGAATTAAATCCTATCCCAGGTACTTTGTAAATAATTTTAATACAGTAAAAAAAAATGAAGCATATGCTAGAGCATTTA